CCCCCCTGGATGTCAGGAGGCTGTGAGTGGCTGGGAGAGTGAAGGTGGAGTCTTCAGGCAAGTAGGGGCCACGTGGGGAAATGGGCTGATGTAAGATGTAGAAGTGGGGAGAGGGACAGGCACAGGCGGCTGTAGGAAATGCAGGCATGTGACCCAGGCAAGAGGAGGAACTGGAGCTAGTTCTTGTTGAGCACATTTCAGTAATGGTGGCAAGGGACTGCTCCTAGTCATTGACTGGCTGCAGCCCTGGGCCAGAAGGTTTGGGTTTAAATCCCAGCTCCAGCATACCGCGGGCCCTGGCACCCAGCCTCCTGTCAGCATGGTGGGGATGATAAGCACACCAGCTCAGGCGGGGGTTAAGTGACATGCTGCCTGTGCCGTGGTAAGAAGAGTGTGTGGTGACTGATGGGTAACGGTCATTCTTAGCTCACTGAGGTTTTAATGAACAGAAATGTGGGGCTTTCTTCTAAGTGATGAGTTTTTCTGAGTGTAATGCTTAGAACTTCCATCGGCAGCAGTCTGGTGAACACTCATGGGCATGGTTGGTCCCACATCACTTCTAGTCCTCATGCCTTCATTTCTGATTCTTAACCTGAATAGTCAGTCAGTGAATACGTATTTTTAGCTTTTCAGAGAATAACAGATTACAACAGACTGAAAAGTAACCAAAGTAGAGCATTTAAAAGGCTAATTTAAGATCAGTGCTTCCCCTTTTAAAATTGCACACCACTGTTGGCTGGTTGGTAGGAGCCACTGCCCTCGCCCCTTGAGTTATGAAATTACCTCCAAGCAGAACATACTGCTCTATCTAATTCTATTAATAATTTGCTGTTTAATTGCCTCTGTTTTTTAATATGTCTAGTTTAAGTTGCAGAGTCTTCTAAGGCACACAYGTCTCTCCTCAGGGGCACGTGCAATCTAGCATTTATGGTATTTCTTATCATTCCTCTGAGAAATTAAGAACATCCCAGGTATTCCCGTGGGGCTGTAGAGTGTGGCCAGTGATAGKACAAGACACGTGCCATTCTGTTCAGTGGGTACTTGAGAACTCTGTATTGGCCGGTGCTGTGCCAGCTCCTGGTACATAGCAACCAGGGCCTTGTCCTCAAGGGGTTCATAGCCCATCCAAGTTCATAAGCTATTGTTGAGTCATTTGTCCTATTATTTAAAGATTATATACTCTGCTGGCATAAATGATACAAGTCAGCCTCTCATACTTTTTCTGGGTCCACATGATTTATTCTTTCTTTTTTGTTTTTGGCAGTGCTTGGGTTTGAACCCACTTGTGCTCTGTCACTGAGCTTTTATTTTTTATTTTGAGCCAGTCCGTCCTTCCTTCCTTTTTTTTTTTTTTTTTTATCATTTTGAGCCAGGGTCTTGCTAAGTTGCTGAGGCTGGCCTTCTACTTGTGATCCTCCTGCCTCAGCCTCCTGCATTGCTGGATTACAGGWGTGTATCATCCCTCCCAGCTTCAGTTCTGTCTTCTTATGGCTAGAATATCGAGTTATTCTTGTTGCTGCCTCCTTGACAGCTGCTTTTGACAACTCTTGTTGCTGACTCTTGACCAGCTGCTTTTCTGGATTTAGTATGGGCAGCCCTCCCTGCTCATGTTGTCCACAGAATTGTGGAAGGGAAAACATCACATAACATATGGCCTGTTTCTACATTTTTGAGCTCTTTAGGTATACCTGATGTCATTTCTTGTTATTCTTATACCACCACTGACTAGTTGATACATGTAATAGWTTTAAACTGAGTAGCTTTAAGGGTTTAAGAAACTTTAACCAAATGATCTTTTTAGAAATAAAAGTATTATGAAAGAAATATGGCCATCTGCCATAATAACTATCTACTTCCCCAAATGGAGTTTTCCTATCTCCCTATTTTATTTAAACTTGTAATGTATTAATTGATTCATTTAGAAAATACTTATAATTTACCGCTCCCCCACCACACCCTTTGTTCCTGGGAATCAAACCCAGGGGTGCTCAACTACTGAGCTACATCCCCCCCACCTTATTAAAATTTTGATACAGGGCCTCATTAAATTGCTGAGGCTGGATACAACTTGTGATCCTCCTTCTTCAGCCTTCCAAGTAGCTGGGGTTATAGGTGCTCACTGTGCCCAGCACAGTTTTTAAACAGATGTAGATCACCTCCTTTGTTCTGTAACAGAATACAAAAATTGTCTAGCACTGCCTCTGTGCTCCAAGTTTACCTACTACTGGTGAAGGGACTGTGCCAGCAATAAAAGTGAAGTTAACTAACAATACAAGATGATGCGAGAGAGCCCTAGGTCATGGTGAGTGACAGCTGGGTGAATGGAGTAGACCTTGGGAAGGAGAGAGAAGGGCTGAGTTTGACTGACTATAGACTTAGAAAAGATTATTTGGAGATTTGTTTAGAGTTTACCTTTTTGTCATAGGCTACTGAAATCTAGATACCATCATGTTTATAGGTTTGTGGTGAGGTGGAAGGGAAAGGTGGGAAACTTAARGTAAAAGAATGTACTGTTCCTTTCTTCGCCTGGTCTTACTGTTACCCCTGGCAACAGCTGACCGTTCTGGGAAGGAATGCATCTTTCTTTCCATAGGCTTCAGTCAAGAACTCTGTCATCTTGATACTACCAGATTGGATGCTGAAACAGCAAGAAGACAACTGGAACTTTGAAGAAAAAACTTACTGTATCCAATAGTTCGTACATGGCAGAAGTAAAGTCAGTGTTCCAGGAAGTTCTTCCAAACCAAGGGCAGCTGTTTGTGGAAGGTATAAGCACAATGGTGCTCTGTAAACCCAAACTTTTACCCTTAAAATCTTTGACTCTGGAAAAACTGGAGAAAATGCAGCAWGCAGCACAGTTCACTAACAAGAAATGTCAGAAAAAGAACATAACAGCAAATAACTCATTGATGAAACTTACCATAGGGAACACCCTTCCTTACCTACCTACCACTTAGTAATTAGAAAGTGTTCTGCAGCTATATGCTGAAAGTAGGATTTAATAAAACTGGTAACAGTCATACTCACGTAAATGAAAATAAAATTCCCAAGATTGGTAAAACTTGTGAATTTAAACTGTGGTTTGTGTTGACCGCAAGCAGTTGAAACTCTGAATTGAATCTCACAGAATTTTCTTTGACTCATGTTTTTAGAATTTCAAATTGTTCTTCATTCCTACTGTTATCAGTTTTAAATTTACAGGCACAAATGACTAATTGTAACTTTTATATACAGAGGATCTTTGCATGTTTATTAAATACCTGAATTTGAAGATTAAAAAAAAATGTGCTGTTCCTCTGTCAAGTGCTAGAGGTATTGACCTTCTTGTGTGAAGGAACCTAAGAACTGGTCCCATGAGCACCTTGTCATTGGCTCATCTGCAGGATGGTCTGTGTTCCAGTGTAGCCTGGAACTGGTTTACCATAAAGAGCCTCAGACATTGAGGAGGCTCAATGTCTTTGTTTCTGGATTTCCTTTAGTTGTCTTCACAATGGTTTATTTTTAGACATCTGACTCAAATGACCACCTCATGCCACCTTGCACAAAATATCTAGTGCTTACCCTTTGTTCCCTTCCACTTGGGAAAGTTTATAGATGGAATGAAGGCAAGGTAGTTAGATCCCAACTTTTGTCCATGCAGTCTCGTCTATCACCTATTTCTAGGAGGCATTTCAAAGGCCATGTGGCTTTTTGTGAAGTTAATATAACACAGATCTGCACTATACATCAACCATTGTTGCACCAACCATTAAGATTAATTTTTTTTTATGGGGTAAAAAGTGAGCAAGATTAGAATTTGAAATAGTCTGAGGGTCTAAAGCCCAATACAAATTTAAAGTATGACTTGTGATATAGTCTTTTGTTTCTTTAGCTTCTGTTATCAAAATTAGTATCATTGTCAATTGAGATAACCATCCATATTGAGGAAATTTCAGGGGCTTTGTAATCCATTCTGAGCAGTCAGACAGATTGAGCTTAGAAAGGAACTACTGTTTGTACTGAGGTATTTATTTGAGCAAGTGTATAGTGTTGTAAAGAATCCTGAGAACTCTTATAATTTTATATTTTACTTCCTGTCTTATCTAGGCAAGTATCAACCATACACTCTGCTGTTCACTCCCGCCCGTAGCCTTTCTTGTAATCCAGACTACAGAAACATAGATACAAGGTACAATCAATCTGGGAATAAAAAAGAATTTCCCCCATGGGAAATGATGATCCCCTGTGGACCCAAGGGAAGACAAACATATATGCTTATTTTTTACCCCTAAGGAGAATTTAGCAAGTGACTCCTTCTCCCAGTGGAGCCCTCCCTATTTCTGAGCAGTGGCCCTTAAATACTGCCCTGGCTGTGTGGGGAAAGGTGGACACCTGTGTTGTCTCAGTCACCATCATCATTTACAATATTGCTTTTTGAATCTACCTGTTCCTAATTTTACTCCCCCTCTAACTTCTGCTGGTAGTTCATGCTGAACAGTGAGGGACATAGTCATAAATCTCTAGCTTCCTACTTTTTATTCCAGAAGTGTTCTTTGAAACATGACTCAGAACAGAACAAAATAAAAACCATATTATTGAGGATACAAAGATCTAAAATGGAAGGAAATATGCATTTAAGAAATACATTACTGGGCCAGGGTTGTGGTAGAGCGCTTGCCTAGCATGTGTGAGACACTGGGTTTGATCCTGGGAACCACATAAAAATAAACAAATACAATAAAAGTATAAAAAAGGAAATATGTTACCAAAATATATTACAATATTAACATTTTTACACTGATAATATACAATCTATCAGTCTCTCTTGCCACATTATTGGCAGGAAATATTAATGATTTTTTATTAATGTAAAACTTTTTCTTCACCAAGAGTTAGAGAGCTTCCTTTTGATACAGTATTATTTCATTTATGAATTAGAACTTGCTTTATACTGTTCTCTTGAGCTTAAACTTGATGTTTCTCAATCAGTTCATCCACTGATGGTGGGAAATAGTGTCCATTTGAAAGGCATCCTGATTGGAAGCTGAATAGTTGTTTTACTTTGGGAGAGAAGTCCTACAGAGTTCATACCAAGTCCAGGGAGGATGCGGTCCCTTTACTTTCCATTTGAAGTCTTGGAGTGTATCATCATCTGCGACTCTGTCATTTCACGTGAATTTTCTTCGGGAGCTGACCTCACTGCGCTGGAAATCGATACGCTGACTTGACGTTTCAGCATCTTCATGACCTTTCTCTTGTACCCTTTACATGCAAAGAAATATATAAAAGGGTCCATGCAGCAGTTGAAGTTCATCAAGCACACCGTGAAGTGCAGAGAAATCTGGAATGAATGCCTTTGGTGGCACTCGAGGAGGTCAGAGAAGTGAAGTTTCTTGATCATGTGTTGGATAATTGCCACGTGGTAGGGCGTGAAGCAGAGAACAAACACAACAATGATGAAAATGATCGTGTTGAGGGCTTTTCTGTTTACACCAGATTTCTCTGCGAGTGGGTTTTGTTTGGCAGTTCTGAAGAGCTTGCAGCAGATCTGTGAGTAGCAGATGAGGATGATCATGAGTGGAAGCACGTATCCTATAAAACATGCACCCAGTAGAATCCAGGGAAGAGACTCTGTGTCTTCAAAATTGGGATACTCCATGCAAGTGATCCTTTCATTCTCCTGCTTGGACATGGGGCTGATGAGTAGTGGGAGAGTTTGAGCAAAGACCAGAATCCAGACGAATATGCACACAGCTTTGGCGTGCTCAATTCTCTTCATCTTGTTGTAGCGGAGAGGGTGCACCACGGCAATGAAGCGGTCGATGCTCAGGCAGGTCATGAAGTTCACCCCGGCGTAAGTGTTGATGTAGAACACCAGAGCTGTTATCCTGCACAAGGCGTCACCCATCTGCCAGTCAAAGCCCAGTGCATAGTAGGCTATCCGTGTAGGCAAAGCCGTGGTGAAAAGGATGTCAGAAATCACCAGATTCATGGAATAGAGGGTGGTAGAGTTGATTTTTTTCCTGTTTTGGACAATGACAACCAAGGCCAGTAGGTTTCCCACCAGCCCGATGATGAACACGAGGCTATAATGCAGAGGCATTACTATCCTGGCTGTGTCTTGGTGTGCATAGAGGTCACAGTCATTTCCCTGAGGAGTTGTGGGAGGTGTGGTGAAATTGCTAGCCATCTCTAGACCCAGTGGTGGCAGGCAGGATCTCTAGGAACAAAATAAGGCTCTGTTTAATTAAAGACATATTTAACTCAGAGCAACTTAATCTACCACTTATATATCTAGTTTTTAAAACTAAAGTTTCACTATTGATACAGTTTTTTAAAATCTATGATATATCATGTGGTTCCATGTATGATAACAGGAAGAACAGAGAATAAGATGTATGTTTTTGCTCTCACAGTTTGTGGCTTTGGTAAAGCCCTGGCAAAGGAACTGGAACCATCTAAATAGGGCAAATGCATTTTTGTGAGAAGAGGGGATGCACTAACTTTTGGGGAAGAAATTCCCCTTCTTTTTTTTCTGAATCACTGTCTGATTAAGAATAAAGTCATGTAAAGCACCCCACATTTTAGGTGGGCATTAAATTTTGCTTTTAAATTGAATTTCATTTGGACCTTTTTGTTGTCGTTATTGTTTTCCAAATGTATATCACTGCCAGGAAATGAAATTAGTCACACACTGGTGYAGTGAATATGAACTTACCACAGTGATCTGATTTGTGTTAACCTAAAAAGTATGAGAAATAAGCATAGGCCTTATTAGGAACTGAAAGTTAGGGTTTCAGAGAAAAAGAAGAAGGTGGTGACCATGACAACCAGGACTAAAATGACAAGAAGGAAAAGAAAGAAAAAGGGAGAGAAAAAACTTAAGATGTTTCAGGAAGTTTTAAAATCACATGTGGGTCATGCTATCTGCACATGGGTTTGAGTGTCCTGCTGTGTCCACTGAGTATCTTCAGGTCCCTGTGGTTTATGTGCTTTTCTGTGTCTAGATTTTATGTAGATATTTGATAGACATTCCACAGTCCAGTTTGTTGATGCACGATTTGTATAGCTACTCCTTCCATGCACATTTAGTTTATTTCTACTTCCTTTCTTGTTATATAAATAATGTTAAGACTGAAATTTCAAATCCAAAATTGAAAACTCCTGCAGTAAGCTCCCCATAAGAGGGTAAATGTTCAATCATTATTGATTAAATATGAAAAAAGAGGGTAAATGTTGGTAAAAGTAGGAAAAGCAGAGCAATAACTCCTGTGATTATTATTATTATTTTTATCTTTTTAAAATAACTTTTCTTTATTTATGTGGTGCTGAGGATCGAACCCAGTGCTTCACATGTTCTAGGCAAGTGCTCTACCACTGAGTCACAGCCCCATTCCTGTATGTGATTTTTTTAGAAAATAAGTTACTTATCTGATGGTATTATCTGAATAAATCTCATATGAAAATCACCAAAATTAAGGGGGAAATTTTTTTTTAGAGAGAATTTTTTAAAATTTTTTTTTCAGTTTTCAGTGGATACAACATCTTTATTTTATTTTTATGTGGTGCTGAGGATCGAACCCAGCACCCCGCACATGCCAGGCAAGCGCGCTACCGCTTGAGCCACATCCCCAGCCCCAGGAAAAAATTTTAATGGATCTAGTCATGCTGTGCTTGTGGTATTTAAGAGAAAAAGACAATATCCTTACTCTGAATGAAAGCTCTGACTACAAATCCACTTGTCTGCCTGCTGTATTAAGTGTTGGGTCTGTGCCAGCATTGGAGCAATCTTAGGTACGCTCAYGGGCACTAAGGTTTATCTTAGGACTGCCATCCTAGGTGTGCACTGCAGTGTAGATAGGCAAATCCTTACAGCATGCAAATGTACCCTAAAGCAAAAGAGAACAAGAACAGAAACAGAACATTTTGAAATCTATAAGAGGACCAGAAAGGACACTATGAGGAAGAACACAAGAAGGAGGATGGTAAATAGAAAACAGAAAAAGGAGGTAGAAAGGTGTTCCAGCAAACTTAAATGAATCGAATTCGCCTATAGTATCGGTTTGGATTTTTTTTTTTTAACAACACAACTATATGCTACTTAAAAGAGAATATAACTCTTGAGAAAGATTGAAAATAAAGACATACCAGACAAATCCCAATGAATGAAAAGGTAGAGTAGCAATCTTAACATTGAAAAAAAAATAGACTGCAAGGCAAATTCAATATCAATATCAATAGGAAGAGAAACAGAGGGTCACTACAAAAGTTAAGAACAGACCACATACAACATAAAAATAATCATGATACACGTGTGTTACAGCAAAATTTGGCTAAATTCAAAGACAAAATGAGCAGATCCACAGTCATTATGGGAAATCTTACACATTTCTATTGAAATATGACAGATAATAAAAAAAGAGGTTAAAGACTTTGAAGATTTACCCAACATTATTTAAAGACTGTTAGAATTTGTGGTAAAGGCCTATGAGCATATCTGCACATTTGACGTCATAGTAGGTCATCAGAGGAACCTCAGCTTTCAGAAAATCATTAGTGAGCAGATGACATTGTCTGACTGGGATGCAGTTAAATTARAAACCAGCAATAACATGATAAAGGTTACATTTGGAAACTAAAATGRTATATTTCTAAGGAACTCTTGGATTAAAGAAGAAATTATAGTGGGGGTTTTGAAATGCTTAGAACTAAATGACAAAATAATACTTGCTGTGCAGTGCAGYTAAGGAGTCAATCCAAGATAGAGGCAAAACGTTGAGTGCAGTGATTGAAAAGAAGAATGAAAATAGTTGAGTATACTGCTCAAAAAGCTAGAAAAGAAAATAATAATTCCCAAAGAAAATAATAAAGACAATTGTGGAAATTAGTGAAATAAGAAAACAAAGTAAACAGAATACAGTAAATATGGGCTTTATATATAGTGCAGGGAAAAAAAAAGGAGTAGTTCCTAAATATGAACTCATGGGAATCACATTGTAGAATTAAAGTCGAAAGAAACTGTTATCCATTTATTTGGGWAATGCCTTCTGCGAGAAGCAACTTTTCAGGAACCAAAACCAGGCACAGGAGGTGAAAATTCTAGACRAGGGTTGCAGCTGAGGATTAGGCATCAAGAATTTCTTTTATTGTTATTTTTCTAACATTTTTTTAGAAGTTTTTTTTTTTCCCCCCTGAAAGTATCAACAAAAGTTTTGAGGAGTATTTAAAATCAGGTTAATAGGAGATGGCTTTAAAATACATGGCAGGGGGGAACCACACCATGGAGTCTGAGAAACCTACATGTGAATATTATTGTAGAGATTATCCACATGGCTTCACCTTCAGAGAAGGCGCCACTACTTGAAGCTTGTAAATGACATCTGACCACATCTGTGAGTGAAGTATAGCATTTGGTAGGGCAGCAGGGGTTACAGAGCAGCTCATGCTGCAGGAGTGTTTAGTACAGTGTTACTTATAAAGGTGAAGATTTGCAAACAGCTCAAACAACTTTTGGGAAGTTGATTGAATATTTTATGGTATAGCCACAGAATGGGGCATCATGCAGCTGCTGAAAATGGCAGCATAGAAACCTACTTCTTGATAGGCACTTATGCTAAGGAAAGCAGATGGCATGACATAGTACTTTGGGGAGGAAAAGCAAATCCCCCCTATAGACACACACACACAGAAAGAAAGATGTTTGCATGGATATTATAGATGCCAGAATAAAACATTGTGCAAGTAATTTGAGGACTTTATCCACAGTCTAAAATGTTAATACTGAACATGAACTGAGTGAAATGAATAAGTAAATGATTTTTTTAATCTGAAGGAGAAATTTTTTTATTTAACTCTTCTTGCAAAAAACCTTGTCATCTGACGTACTTTTCAAAGCTTGCCCTTTCATACTTTTTACTCACATTCATGCATTGACTTCCTAGGCGCCTGCCTGCAAATCATGTCCGGTAGGAACCTCACAGCAAACCACCACACTAAGCATTGGTATCCCCCACCTGCTTCCCAGGTGAGGAGCTGAGGGCTCAAGAGGCTCAAGATTATGTTGGGTCCTTGCCTGATGTTGTGTCCAGTCATTTGCAGGGGCAGCTGTTTCACTTGTGATTTCAAAATACAGCGTGGGCATGGAGTGGCTTTCCTCTCCAGAGCAGATGGGCGACTCTTCCTAAGGGCAAGGGGATCCCTACCTCCAGGAGAATTGCCAAGTGCAAAGCCAGCCCTGAGGGGAAGACTGTTTGAGAGGCTTTCTTGCTGACCACTCTAGTTCCTGAGCTGGCCAATGAAAACTTTTGCAGAATATGGACATGTGGATGAGATGTGTCAAGACTGGTCTTAGCCAGTGTAACTCCACATCATGTACAACCCCTAAAAATGGGAAGTTATACTCAATGTATGAATGATATGTCAAAAAACATTCTGCCATGTATAACTAAAAAGAACAAATAAAAAATATTTTTATAAAAAAGGAAACAAATGCTACAAGGGCAGAGATTTCCATTTTATTTACAGAGGTATCCATACATCAGGAACATGCCTTGCATACAGAAAACCGTCAATAAATATTTTTGAAACCGTGAGGGAAAAAAACTGGTCTTTGGTAAAAGAGACTCAAGGTGGTTTTGAAATATGACATTATATAACTCTAATGTCACATTAGTTCTTGCCAATATCTCTCCTGTGTTATTCATGCTATAGTTTAGCTGGTTTTATGATCTCCAAATTAAGGAGTCCTTGACGGTTGTTCAGCCATTCTTGTAGTGATCAAGCCCCAGTTTATTATAACCTCTTAGAGATACTACTTTATACCTTCCTTTGATCATTTTATGCCTTATTTTCYTGAAACTTGAAATAGCTCCACTCTTTTATTAGCAATCCTTACTGTCAGCGCCTGCACATGCTGTGTCCTGGGACTACAGAAATGATGCCTTTTTATGTCAGAGCCTCTGGAGCAGAAGGATGAGCAGCAGCGTGCTGGGAATGTGCGGGTACCTTTCTGTGCTCCTTCTGCTCAGTCTTWGCTCTACAGTGTGCCTGTGGCAGCCTTTGGATTATAAATTCCTATTTTATTCACTTTCAAGTATAACTTGTTGTATCTTCTTAGATGTATTTTAAGTATTTTGCATTTTAATTATTAGGAAGCAGCTCTGGCATGTTTATATATTATCTATCTATCTGTCTTGTCTCTGAGTTAAACTTGAAAGTACC